CCAATGGAGTATTACTCAGCCATAAATAGAAGGAGATAATGCCATTTGCAGTCACCTGGACGGACCTAAAGCTGATCAGACTAGGAGAAGTAAACCAGGCAGAGGAGGACAGATATCATAGGATATCGCTTATATGTGACAGCTTAAATGCAAACGAGCTTACTTAGAGGAGAGGGGGAGAGTCATGTTACCAGTATCAGGAATGAGAGAGTTGATAACTACAAATTTTTATTAATATTAAAAGTATAATAAGGAACTATTGTGGGCAACTTTGTCAACTATATGAAAAATGAAATGAGCAAACTTCTAAATGTCAGACTACCAAAGCTAACTCAAGAATAACTAAATAATGGAATAGCATAGCCCAAACTCTGAAAGTGAAAGTGAAGTCTCTCAGTCGTGTCTGACTCTTTGCGACCCCATGGACTGTAGCCCACCAGGCTCCTCCGTCCATGGGATTCTCCAGGCAAGAATACTGGAGTGGGTTGCCAGTTCCTTCTCCAGGGGATCTTCCTGACCCAGGGATCGAATACCCAGGGATCGAACCCAGTTCTCCCGAATTGTGGGCAGAGGAGCCCAAGCCCAAACTCTAGTAAAAAGTAAAAATTGAAGTTAAATACCTGCAAAAAACAAAGACCAGAAAAAATAAGACACCAGGTCCAGAAGTCTACACTGAGAAATTCGGTCACTATCGCGGTGATCAGTGCACTAATTTTTTAGCTCATTTATAGGTGTGTATATGTCACATCTTATCAAATTGCCAGTGCCAAGTGATCAGAGAGGAAAAGGATGTTTTAAATCTTACTCTGCTGTGATCAGGTTTCTCTCTCAGCTTGAGACCCTTATTCTCTTGTCCATCTTTCCTCCCAGATCATGTTAAGAGATGCCTTAAATCTGTAGGATATTTCTAAAGGAAGAGTTGTAACAATGTATTCAACTTTAAATTGATGGACATTGGTTCCTTGTGTGATGTGAATATTTATTAGAGCATAGGACAATTTGAATGCCTCTGATTTGAGAAGTTTCAGGATTGACAGAGCTAAAATAATTTGTTGCGTCATAGAATAAGGAAGTCTGATGCAAAGGGCTGTGCCCCGGGGTGACTGCCTCGCTGTCACTCACTCATTCCTGTCTGTGTCCCCCAGAGCCCGGCTGACACACAGCCTCGTTCTGAGGGTGTGTCTGAGCTGGGGACACCTGAGCAGGGGAGAGCAGTCAACAAGGATATTTAAATTCACAGCAGATGAGAGGGACTTGATTCAGACTGGGATATTTAGGGCTTTCCTGGGACAGACTAAACTTGCTAGGTTCCAGGACCATTCAGGCCCCTGGGGGATTTTTCTAATGGGGAATAAAAAGCCAGTCTCTGTTGATACCCCATGCTTTTCTCCTCTGTGCCGCTTCCAGCCTTCGTCCTTTCTCTCGGGGACTTTCTAGTCCTCTCTGTTTGCCCTGGGGCTTTTCTTAGGACTTTTGTGGAGTTGGAGAGTTGAAGGGCTGCTCCTTGTGTACTGCTGTCATCTTTTTCTTCAGCGTGATTACTCACAGGTCTATATACATGTGACAGGTTAAGAAATGTCCTTGAATCCACACTCTGATGTGGCTCAGCAAAATGCCTGCTTCTTTGTATTCGTGTGTGTGTGTAAGTATTTAGATCAGATCCCTTGTTAGAGAATGTTAGTGTATTACAGTCATGGAAATCGGATTTGGGAAATCCAGTTGCCTGTTGTCTATTATTTTTAGCCTTGCACATACCTTTCCATTTCTGCTGAATCTCTTCTTCTGTCCCTCTTCTCTTGTGAGGAGACCGCAATGTAAAGGTGCACTGAGACTCGGAACCTGGCGTCTTTCTGTCTGAGGGTCAGTGGACTCAGCAGATTGGGGCAAGTAGGCGGCTGTGGTCAGATCCACCACAGGCAGGTTCTGTCAAGTCACATCTAGTTTGAAGTCTCCTTGGCTTCCTATCCCATTGTGGGAATGTTAGCATTGGGTAGACTGGCAACTCAGTGGAGCTCTCCGTGGAGGATGCTGGCTATGTAGTTGTTTACTAGGCCAGAATTCAAACAGCTGAACCCTGACTTCGTTCTCTCTCATTGCCAGCAAATTCATGTAGTGTACAGTATGTTTTTTATAAAGCACTCTGATATACTGGGAGAAAGAGGAAGTGAAATTCAAACCTTCTGGTTTTGTTATTTGCAAGCATTTCTGCCAAAAGGTATGTATTCAGTTCAGTCGCTCAGTTGTGTCTGACTCTTTGAAACCCCATGGACTGCAGGACACCAGGCTTCCCTGTCCATCACCAACTCCCTGAGTTTACTCAAACTCATGTCCATCCAGTCGGTGATGCCATCCAACCATCTCATCCTCTGTTGTCCCCTTCTCCTCCTGCCTTCAGTCTTTCCCAGCATCAGGGTCTTTTCCAATGAGTCAGTTCTTTGCATCAGGTAGCCAGAGTATTGGAGTTTCAGCTTCAGCATCAGTCCTTCAAATGAATATTCAGAACTGATTTTCTTTAGGATGGATTGGTTGGATCTCCTTGCAGTCCAAGGGACTCTCTCAAAAGTCTTCTCCAACACCACAGTTCAAAAGCATCAATTCTTCAGTGCTCAGCTTTCTTTATGGTCCAACTCTTACATCCATACAAGACTACTGGAAAAACCATAGCCTTGACTAGACAGACCTTGGTTGACAAAGTA